AGCCTTTGTCTCAAAAGAAAAAGAACAAAGAAAGTCATGACTCAGCAAATGAGTAGACATTTGGAAGATAAGCCTGAGCAACTTTTTGAACTCCTTAGTTTTGTGTTACTCCAGGTTGCAACATTCATCCTCCAGAAGATCCTCTTAGATGACACCGGTTTGGCTTATATATGTCAGACATATGAGCGTTTCTCCCATGTTGCTATGATCTTGGTGAGTTCTTTGATCTTTCCTCTTCGCAACTACATCTGATCACACAACTTAGTTTCTTTGTAGTTGACACTGAGCAATTTCAGTCTTCTAACTAGAAGTAACAATTTTGGAACCTTTTATAATGATTTTTGGCCTATCTGATCTCTGGTGTCAATTAGAATTATTTTTTGTTTCATGTGTTTTTTCTAACCCTCACCCTATTGGGGGGAAACAGGGTAAGATGGTCCTGCAGCTATCCAAAGAGCCTTCTGCCCGTCTGCTGAAGCATGTAGTGAGATGCTACCTTCGACTCTCAGATAATCCCAGGTAAACATTTACAGAATTTATAGGACTTTAGGGAAATACTCTTCTTAATAGTTTCCCCATCTTTTGGCATAGCTCCTGTATCATTAGGGCTATATTTAGTTCATCTTGGACAAAACTTAAATTTCTTTTAAAATCCGAAGCCCTGGGTGGCACCTGTGGCCCAGTGAGTAGGGTGCCAGCCCCACATACCAAGGATGGTGGGTTCAAACCCGGCCCCAGCCAAACCGCAACAAAAAAATAGCCAGGCGTTGTGGCAAGGGCCTGTAGTCCCAGCTACTCAGGAGGCTAAAGCAAGAGAATCACCCTCGCCCAGGAGTTAGAGGTTGTTGTGAGCTGTGTGACGCCGCCACGGCACTCTACCAAGGGCGATAAAATGGCAGATAAAAAAATCTGAAATTAAAAAGCCATCAGAGTTGTCTCTTCCCACTGTTCCCACTGTTATTCTTTATCCTAGTCTTACATTCCAGAGAGCCTGCACAATTCCAAGGGAAGCCTTGTGATGCATTATTCCTGTGGTTTGAGCTTTCTTTTCCTACTCCCAAGTGGTCAGAAAGAAAATTGTACTTTCAAAGACCTCTTAGAAAGGAACACAGCCCAGAGGGCTTTTGAATTATATTTTCCATTTTTCTTCTTGGTTCCTGTAAGGTTCTTGAACTAATTATTTTATCTCCCTATGTCCATAATAATCTTTCTGCCAGAAATCATACATTATAGATATCGTGTATTTTAGAAATGTTTGACCTTTTGCTTTGTAAATCCATAATTCATAACAAAACCACTTGCTTAGATTCTCCTAAACCACATAATGGAGGGATTTCTATGTTCCTAAGGATGGGGACAATTTGATATAATGTGAACTCAGTCTCCTGCCACTGACTTTATTCAAGTTCTACCTATTTCTTGGACCATATTGTTCTGTTCTTTGGTGGCTCCAGTTCTCAGTAGTTTAAAAATGTAATTATTTAGGCTTGGCGCCTGTAGCTTAGTGAATAGGGTGCCCGTCACATGTCCTGAGGCTGATGGGTTCAAGCCCAGCCCAGGCCTGCTAAACAACAATGACAACTGCAACAAAAAAATATAGCTGGGCATTGTGCCGGGTGTCTGTAGCCCCAGCTACTTGGGAGGCTGAGGCAAGAGAATCGCTTAAGCCCAAGAGTTTGAGATTGCAGTGAACTGTGACACTGCAGCACTCTACTGAGGGCAACATAGTGAGACTCTGTCTCAATAAAAAAGGTGAATATTTAAAATTCTACTTGTACAAAGGAAAATGATCTGAGTTTAAAAGCTGTAACTTTGGCTCAGCGCCTGGGGCTCAAGCGGCTAAGGCCCCAGCCACATACACCTAAGGTGGTGGGTTCGAATCC